CCGGGCCGGCAGCCGCTGCTGATGTCCTCCACCGCCGATCCGAAGCAGCGCCACCGCCTCGTGACGGTGGTGGAGTTGGGGCGCCACCACCACCCGATCGACGCCTGCCAGGCCGACGCCGTCGACCACATGCCCTGCGAGGATCCCCGCCGCAACAGCCAGCTCAGCCGCGAGATGAACTTCTACAGGGAGAGGCACTGCCCTCTTCCCGAGGAGACCCCGCTCTGCCTCATCCCTCCACCCAATGGCTACAAGATTTCCGTGCCCTGGCCTGAGAGCTTGCACAAGGTCAGCCTCAGCCCTTATACTGTTGTTTCGGATTTTTTTTTAATTGTCGATGTTCTTATTGTTTCTCTTTTTTGAATCGGAAATTTGGATGGTTCATGGTCTTTGTTTTAATGTTGAGTTTTACGGATCCTGCCGTTGAAAGGTCTGTTTTTATCCCAGTGTCACAAAGGGTGTTACAACAAACACTGAGGATATGTTAAGTATTTCGGACTAAGCAATCAGTAAATAATTTTGCAGTGAAGCTATGCAGAAAATAATAATGTAGAAACAAAAGAGACACATGAAATTAATATCGCATTTTGGTACGCACACTTACATTGGCGGGGCCACGTCCAGACAGTGAACAATCCACTAAGATTGAAAGATTACAAACACCAATAACGGTCTTACACACTCAAGACTCCCTCGTTGATCGTGTCGCTGTTATGTTGAGTCTCCTTAAAGGACTTGTCCAGCAGATACCACCCGACTTTGTAACATTACTTCACAAGCAAGTATTGACATCCACCATGAGAACAGTCCGCCAGATTTTCCACACAAAATAACCAATCTGTCTCAATTCCACAACCCTCAAAATGTGCTCACCGTCTTTTTAAAACAGCCGCACACTCCCCTGCTATATCAGCTACACAAAAACACCTCTGTCCTCTAAAACGGACCAGCCTCTTCAAAGCAAAATATTCTTTCTATAGATACCTCCAATCTTCCAGCCGAGTCAACCAAAGCAGCCACCAATCATCAATTAGCCAAGTCAACCAAATCAGTCACCAATCAATCTCAGCAAAATCAATCCAAATCTAGAGGACCATTCCAAACTTGATGCAGCTAACCCAAAAAGGAAAAAACTGTTTCTTTGAATTCATACTTCCGACTTTTAGCAAAAAATTGCCAACTAACTAAGAGCAGTCCTAACAATCTCCTCTTTTGGCATTTTTGGTAAAACACTAAGAACATCCTAATACTAGGAAATTCAAAAGAAACAGACAACATACATAAAATGTTGTTCTGGACACAAATTACAAACAATTACTAGACTCCCCCTTTTTGTCAAAAAGACTGCCAAAGTAAGGTAGCAGACAAAAGAAATAACAGGACCATAACAGAAGAAACTAGGAAGAAGTACCAACTCCATCAGCAGCTGAAGAAGACTAGAGATCCTCAAGTAGTGCCGCAGTCTCCCTCTTGCGCTGATAAATTTCTTTGAGCTCCTGTAAAAGTCTCTTTTCACGAGCAGCAAGATCATGTAATTCCTTCTGCAAGTACTAAATGGTACGAGTTTTTTGAACAGCAGCAACCGATTGAGAGGAACTGGATGTGACACCAATTGAGACATGAGTAGCATCCTCCTGCAGCTCGTCTTCAGAAACTGAGAAAGGCTCCCCTTGAACATCATCCACATGCTTCCCAGAGTGAAGTTTCTTTGAAATTCTAAGTTCGCCTGGAAATTTGGCAAACACCTCTACTGACTTCTTAATATCGTTTTGAGACATCAACACACCATAAATGAGAGAGGGAAATGGGAGCACCTAATAGTTGAACAAAACTTTCAGCATTACCTACTATCTGATCATAAATGAGTTGTCCAATGTCAAAGGAGAAGCATAGATTAATCATGCAGAGCAATTTGGCCAGAGGCTTATTGACACCAGTTGAATGTGTACTAGGCATCCAGTTCTTCAAGGCAATATTGTGCAAACAAAATACTTCAAACTTAACTCAGCAGCAGGAAAAGATTTTGAGGCTGGCCAATTACAGCGGACATTTGCAGTTAACTTAGTTATGATCTGATCATAGCTTGCTTCACATTCCACAACCGTTCTATGACTTCCATAAAAGTCATTGATAATTGCCGGTGAAAAATCAAACAAGTGACATCTGACAAAAACTTTATGAAACATTGGGGATTTATGATCATTAACTCCACTAACCAAATTTGCATAGAACACTAAGACCACATCCTTTACAAATGGTTTTACTTTAGTGACTGTTCCAAGTAAACTCTAATTCTTCAGAAGTTCCAAAACACTCAATTCTCCAAATTCAGTTTCATTCAGTAATCTTTCAGAGAATATCTTCCTTTTAATCACTGACTTGCAGACAATTTTATTCAAATCAGAATAAAAGAGAATAGTATCATCCTTACCAGAGCTTGGAATAGAGGATTTCTTCGCTTTCTCTCTTTTGATGGTCTCTGGAGCTTTTGCTTGAGACTTGGCCTTGGACCTAGTAACCTTGCAAGAATTGACTGGAGCACCGGTTTGCTTCTGGTTCTTCCTCTTTGGCAAAGGATCAGTGGAGGGTTGAGATGGTTCGACCTCAACAGCCTCATCAGGAGCACCAGGAGCAGTTGATGAATGGAAGGCATTATCACTCGAGGAGGCAGACTTCTTCTTATTCTGCTTCTTAGATTGAGCCCGAATTTGGGTTTCAATTCGTGTTTGGGACTTTTGTTTCATCCCTTCTGGATAGACCGGGAAACGAGAGGTCCACGAAGGAAAAACTCAATCTGACAAGAAACTTCATCAAGTTTGGGGGTGACTGAGGCGAACTTCCAGGAGAGGGCTGTGATGCACCAGCATTGACCAGAGAAGCTGCTGGTGGCAGAGACATTGGAGCAGGGGCGGTGGAATCATCAGAATTTGAAGAACCCTAAGGAGTAGAGAAAACGTCTTCACAGTGGCCGGACTCTGACAGAGTGACAAATGGAACAATTTCCGACGGACGAAGAATGGCGAGAGGAACCGGTTCGGCTTCATCGGAGAACTGAGAATTCTGGCGTGGACCAGTCGTAGTGGAGGTTGATGGAGCCTTCAGCTTTTTTGGCGGAGATCGTGCCATTACTTTCCCCTGTAATTCCTCTTGGAATTTTGCAACCGCTTCATTGATTTCCTTGGATCGAGAATTGTGAGTTTTCACCATTGTTGAGAAACAAAAAAAAACTTGGTTCGCAACCGCTCAAGTGTTTTGTGTCGCAACCGCTCGAATGTTGTGTCGAAACCCTAAAGCCCCAAATTCATATAAACAAACTCCCGGGAACACACAAACATCCCAAAACGCATTTTCGTTTTTTATTTTTTTTATTTTATTTTTTATACATTACATTACACAAATTCCAAGAGCCATCCTCAAAGACTCAAATCGGAGAGCATCCAGTGCCTTGGTAAAAATATCTGCCAGTTGTTTTTCAGTAGCAATGTACTTAAGAGTGACTGTTTTATTCTCCACTAATTCTCTGATAAAGTGATGATGAATATCAATATGCTTCGTGCGAGAGTGTTGGACTGGATTTTTAGAGATATTTATTGCACTAGTATTGTCACGGTATACAGTCAGAAAATCTTATGAAATACCATAATTTTCAAGCATCTGTTTCATCCATAATAGCTGAGTGCAACAGCTTCCTGCTGCTATATACTCTGCCTCTGCTCTGGATAGAGAAATGGAATTCTGCTTTTTACTAAACCAGGAAACAAGATTATTCCCCAAATAAAAACATCCACCAGATGTGCTCTTTCTATCATCAGCATTGCCAGCCCAGTCTGCATCACTGAAACCTACGAGACTAGAATTTATATCTCTAGAAAACCAAATTCCATAGTCCACTGTACCACTTAGATACCGAATTATCCTTTTAACTGCAGCTAAGTGAGACTCTTTAGGATTTGCCTGATATCTAGCACAAACTCCAACACTAAAGCATATGTCAGGTCTACTAGCAGTTAAATACAAGAGACTCCCAATCATGCTTCGATAGAGACTAGGATCAACTGAAGTGCCATTATCGTCTTTCATCAATTTCTCATTTGTGCCCATAGGAGTTCTCAAATGTCTTGATTTTTCAAGGCCAAATTTCTTCACTAAATTTCTTGCATATTTGTTTTGAGAAATAAAAATCCCATTTTGCATTTGTTTCACTTGCAGGCCAAGGAAATAGTTCAATTCGCCCACCATACTCATCTCAAACTCCTTCATCTGATCAACAAACTCATCTACTTTTCCCTGACTTGTGGATCCAAATACAATGTCATCCACATATATTTGAGCAATGATAATTCCAGACTTGAACTTCTGATAAACAATGTTTTGTCAACTCCCCCTTTCGTATAGCCCTTCCTGTTCAAGGAATCTGTCAACCGTTCATATCAGGCTCTAGGTGCTTGCTTCAATCCATATAAAGCCTTGTTGAGCTTGTAGACATAGTTAGGTTGAAGAGGATCTTCGAAATCTTTAGGTTGCTCTACAAATACTTCCTCATTCAGGAATCCATTCAAAAATGCACTTTCACATCCATTTGAAACAACTTAAACCCCAAAAGACAGGCAATAGAGAGCAAAAGCTTAATTGACTCAAGTCTTGCAACGGGAGCAAAAGTCTCATCAAAATCAACTCCTTCAACCTGAGTGTACCCCTGCGCAACAAGTCTCGCCTTGTTTCTGGTAATGTTCTCATGTTCATCAGTTTTATTCTTGAAAATCCACTTAGTACCAATAACATTGAAACCACTTGGTCTAGGAACTAAGCTCCACACATCATTTCTCACAAACTGCTCCAACTGCATTGCATTAATCCAGAATTCATCTTAAAGTGCTTCTTTAACATTCTTTGGTTCCACAGTAGAAGTGTAGCACACATATCTCACAATGTCTCGATAATTTTGCTTTGGTTTGTCTCGAGTACGTATACCATCATGAATGTTTCCAATGACCTCCTTAACTGGACGATTCTTCTTAATTCTGGAAGACGATTGGATCTGCTACTTTGTCAAACTCTGTCTCTGGTTCTGACTGCGCTGTCCCAGGCAGTATTACAACACCATCTGCAACATTGTCTGTGACACTGTCTTCAGCACTATGCATCTCTTCTCCTTGATCAACTATTTCAGATTTATCAAAAGCTTCATCTTCAGAGAGTCGTTCTCCAGTCCCTTTGAAGTCATCAACTACCACATTTGCAGACTCCATGATAGCTTGAGTTCTCTTGTTGTAAACTCTATAGGCTCG